CCACCATGCCCAGCTAATTTTTTGTAGCTTTAGTAGAGACGGGGTTTCACCATGTTGACCAGGATGGTCTTGATCTCTTGACCTTGTGATCCACCCGCCTCGGCCTCCCAAAGTGCTGGGATTACAGGCTTGAGCCACCGCGCCCGGCTAATTCTTGGGGACACTTGAGGGCTGAGAAGGGGGAGGAATGACAGGTCCAGTAACAGTTACCAGCAGCGGTGCAGCTGCCATCCTTGACAGCTCCCTCCTCCTCAGAGACCACGACATAGATGGTCAGGAACCCTGGCTGAGAAAGACAGCCAAGGGGTGGGGGGAGCCTCAGCAAATCGCCTCTGCCAAGTCCTGGCCTTAGCCAAGCAAGCTCCAGCTTCCCTGGCTCCTCCTCCTCCTCAGCCCTATCCCCATCCGTCACACATACACTTAATGCGCCTCGCATCCAAGTCCACCCTGGACTTTGGCCTTAGCAGTAGCTAGGGTGGGAGGCTGGGAAGACCGGGAGCAGTCTCAAACAAAAGCAAGAGCAGCAGCTTCGGGCGCTGTAGTACCTGCCAGCTTTCCCCATAGGAGGTAAGTGGATACTGGGTACTAGGGGAGCTCTGAGAAGAACAGCTAGATATTACACGTATTGGCAACTCACAGCTTTCAGCTTTTAACATACTTCCTCACACATTATCGCCTTTCATCCTCCACAACTCTGAGGTGGACCTGGTTGGTCTTAGCCTCACTTGGTAGATGGGAGAACAGTTCGGAGACACAATGAGATGCTCAGCATCACACAGCAAATCTGAGGCCACCAGGACTAAATGCAGGGCTCTTGGCCCTGTACATCATTGCAAATACAAGACCCAGGTTGCATATAGAAGGTTCAGTGTCCCAAGTGCGTGGGCCGGTAATCCCAGCACTTTGGGAGGCTGAGGCAGGTGGATCACGAGACCAGGAGATCGAGACCATCCTGACTAACACAGTGAAACCCCATCTCTACTAAAACTACAAAAAAATTAGCCAGGTGTGGTGGCATGCACCTGTAATCCCAGCTACTCGGGAGGCTGAGGCAGGAGAATCGCTTGAACCCGGGAGACAGAGGTTGCAGTGAGCCAAGATCATGCCACTGCACTCCAGTCTGGGTGACAGAGTGAGACTCCATCTCAAAAGAAAAAATAGGGCCGGGCGCAGTGGCTCAAGCCTGTAATCCCAGCACTTTGGGAGGCCAAGGCGGGTGGATCACGAGGTCAAGAGATCGAGACCATCCTGGTCAACATGGTGAAACCCCGTCTCTACTAAAA